AAGTTTTTTTATTTTTATTATTTTCACTAACATTTATATAAAAAATTTGTATAAAACGTCAACAATAAAAACAGCTAGCTAGTTTAACTGATTATCTTAAAATCCATAGATATCGCTATTATTTATTATGGCTGTTAGCATGTTCTCCGACAAGCGGAAGCGATGAGAAAACCCTGTTTTCCGGGTTTGGTCAGGTGACGTTCGACATATACCCTACTATAGCTGTGATATGGACTTTCTTATTCTCAATTAGAGTGACAATTAAAACTTTGTAGTTGTCCTTATCGTCCTTGTTGTGAACTGGCCTGTGTGTTTTGTGAATCACAAAACGTGACTGACTCGTTATAAACAGCTGGTTCATATCATTTGGTCGTGACCCTGCTGAAAAAAAAAAAAGGCTAACACCAGCCTAAGCTGGTTGGCTGGTCTTAGCTGGTTTTAGCTGGTCTCCCAGTCTGACCAGCTAAAGAAGTGGCCAAAACCCCTCTAAAACCAGCATGCTTGACCAGCTATGACCAGGCTGGACAACCAGCCAACCAGCTTAGGCTGGTTTTAGCTGTTTTTTTTTTTTTTCTCAGCAGGGTAAATCGGACATCACGGCTCATGCAGTGTTTGTTGTTGTGTGAAGGAAACACCAGCACTCACTTGGAAGATAGAATGAACTACCGCCACCTCATGAGTTTCTGACGAAATGGCAAGGTTTATTTAAATTCGTTCATTTACATTATTGTCACAGTCTTTTTAGTCTTATTAGTCTGGTCCTGTGTGAACACGTAGTGGATTCAGAATCAGGGATGCTTGTTCCATCGTGAGGTCGGATTTCCTCTGTGCTAGAAAAGCATTATGCCATCACTGTATATGTGTGATATGATGAGATGTGAAATCGGAGAACAGGTCAGTGCAGATATAGGGCAATGTGTATTTCTTTGTGTGTGTCTTTGCGCTGACATTTGATCGTGATGAATTTTAAAGCAGGATCAAGGGGTAGCGAGCGACAGTCTAGGCCAGTTCATGAAGACAGTGGGAGGTATCGGTGCATTATATGTATGTGCAGGACTGCACTGAATCACAGAGTGGGATCAGAAGACCTTGGGGTTGAAGGGCAGTGTGTTTAGTCTATGCAGTCAGTGTGGGGTATGTTTTTATGTATGTGAGATCAAAAGCAGTGGTTATGAAACCACCCTTTCTCATCCAGGCTAGCATTCACCCAGCTATTGAGCATTCAGTAAGAATATCGTGGTATTTAAGTGTCCAAACTAAAAATATCTTACTATTCAGACTCATAGAAAAAGGTGCATATCCTTTGCACTTTTATGGATTAGTTTAGACCAGTGATTCTCAGTTCCAGTCCTCACCACTGCATATTTTGCATGTCTCTCTTATTTAACACACCTAATTCAGATAATCAGCTCATTAGAAGAGAGCTCCATGCATGAACTGTGTTCCAATTGACATGGTCCCTACACAGTGTTCATTGCTCCCTACTACCTGAGCATGGGAAATCCCTTGAAGTTTTTAATTCTCATCATTGTAATATTGAAAACGGTAATGTTTTCAGGTTGTTCAAGCTGTAGTTTACAAGCAGTCTACAAACTGTCTGTAGTAACTGTCTACAATATTTATAACTGTCCTCAAAGCAAATGTCTTCAGAGTACAATTAAAGCAAACTCTACAGCTGGGTTGTCTTTGATCAGCGCATCCCTCCAGCCCCGTTTCCAGGCAGTAAAGCCCCCAGAGCTGCTCTCATCTGTCATTTTCTCCCCTTACACATCCTCCAACCCTCTCTCCCCCTGCTTCTAGGAAATATTTCTCCCGGGACTGTCTTTGTTTAAAGCAAATAGGCCGAATCCAAGCCAAAAGCAGAAAATGAGTGCTTCCATTCATATACATGCACTGTTCCTGGTTCTGAGGCCAAGAGCTGACTAAGCCAAGGCAATGCTGAGTAAATCTTTAGCATCCAACCTGCTGCTAATTGAAAACAAGAATAGACGATTATTTTTCAGTTTGCTGTGTATATACGTAAACACACATTTCATCATATGCAAACAGAACAATGTATTTTGGCTTTAATCTCATAAAATCATGTCATTTTTCCACCTAAGATCAAAGGAAAAGAATAATACATTGTTTGTATTGAGAAGATTAAGCCGTTATTAAAGACCATTAAGATTTGTTGCATTGTGACATTTTTTAAATGATAATTAAAATTTGTAAAATATATTGCAATTATATAATATATTTAAAAGTATATAATGTAATAATAATAACAATAATGTACATAAATACTACACAGTTTAAATATGCTCTTTCCAGTTTATTTATTATAGTAATGAGAATGAGATTGTTTTGTAGTATGGTAATGAGAACTGCGGTTTAAAATGTGCTTAATGAAACTAATTCTGTAATGGTCTTCATTTTCACAAAAATCTAATTTCTTTCTTTCTTTGTCTTGATTTTGGGGTGAAATATGACCTGCACATGATCTAGACAGGTTTCGTGTGATTCACCCTTCAAGTGAAAGGAGCGTCATATTCAGAGATTTTTCTCTATTGCAAATGGATTCCCAGTCCCCAAAGCACTCTAGACATGAACCATCATGTCAGTATAATTGTAAAATGATAGGCAATAAGTCAGACAGATACAAGTGAATGAATCGTAAGATGAGGGTGCCCGTTTCAATTATGTACATTAGTTATAGATGAGGAACCTTTTGGGAATAACCCATACAGAATACATTTGCAGAATTAATACACTGTGCAAGGCCATTTTCTTGTACGTAATTGCACCCTAATTATCCATTAGTTATTGAATTAGCCTTTTATCTGTTTGTCACAGGCAAAGGCTTAATAAATGGAAGAGAAATCATCAACTTGGTTATCAACGCTCCAAATTTGCAACACAGTGAGCGAGGGAAAATACAGAGAGGGATGGAGAGAGATACACTACAGTAGCAGAGAAAGATGGAGACAGACAGACCGAGAGAAAGACGCATACATATATTCATGAGCATCTTCAGGTTGTAATTAAGAATCAAGTAGCTACAATGAAGCCATTAGTTTAAGTTTTAAGAGACTATGCAAGTAACTCGGAAGATTTTTTGCTTTTCTTTCTCTCTGCTGATGCACAGCAATCTGGGAAATTATTTAGCAAATGATTTCAACTGTGAATGTTTTCCCCCCCTTTTATAATTGTTTATAATATTTCTATTGTACTGTAAATTGTGTATTCTGAGTTTGCTGACGTTAATTAATTTGAAACAGAATGTGACCATAAAAAAGTCTAAATGAATAAAAATCTATGAAAAATAATAATATTGTTGATTAATGATGGATTTAATCAAAATTTGGATGTATACTGAAATTATTATTTTTTTGGTTAAAAACCAGTTTTCACTCGGAAATGCATATCAATCTGGAAAATTATTTTGCAAATTATTTCAAATGTTGTTTTTTTTTTGGTTAATTATTTTTATTTTATAATACTTATATATATGATTTGTGGATGTGGATTCAGTTTGCTTACCTTAATTTATTTGAAACAGAATCCAACCACAATATCAAAACCAAAAATTTATTAGCAACTTTAATTTATTATAGCTGTATATTACATATATTTTTAATTTAAAACATTTATTTAGAAAAAATCTTTTGCTTTTTATAATTAATTTAGTATTTTGGTACCAAATTATAATAGAAATTACATAGAAATACCACACATTCTGTTATGAAATTCTATAGAATTTTCCCAAGGCATTCCGACTTCAACTTCGGGACATCTAAAAAGGCTTAAAAATAACAAGGAAACTACAATATCAATAAGATTCTACCATTTATTACACATAATGACATTCTTAAATAAAAATGCTTCACTTAACAGTTCTTGCATAGATATATTACAATACCAATTTAAAAAAGAATTATGAAACAAACCAGTAACAAAAATAAACTCTTTTCCTTTTTCCTTAATAAAGAACATTGTCATACTAACATCATATAATACAAATAATATATGCAAACACTTTTTACAACAAACAAAACAAAACAAAAGAAATCAATAAAAATAAAAATCGGCATAAATATAGGAGCAAAGTGGAAAGCATGAAATGCCTGTGAAAAGCAGAGGGATTGGAACAGATTTAATTTACAGCAGGAAGTGTGGAAAAAAGCCTTTAACCGGAAAACTACGCTACAAGTGCAACAAACATTGGAAATCACTCCGTTTATCAGCTTCATACCATTCATTTGAAAGCTTTTAGCACAGCGTTTTGAGCAATGGAAGGGTACAAAGAAAACAATGCTTCAGATGTCTAGTGAGCGAACAGAGACCAGCTGCTAATGTGAATGTACAGACTAATGCGTCAATCCCAAAACAATGTACAGACCTCTAAAACGGACTAATCATAGTATCACGAGATATGAAATGCATTCAAACTCCTAATTTAGTGTTCCCTGCATGTTTAGTAGTGTCTCTTTAGTGATCTTTAGGATGTAAATTTTACATTGTAGAATGTAAAAACATACCTGCAGGTGTGCATTACAAATAATTGCATTATCCCACAGCAAAAAGGTCAGTTAGTTGTCTGTGCGATTTAAAAGCTGTTTAAGTGGGTAACAAGGTTTATGCACACTTGAGAGAAACTAAAGACAGTGCACATAAAACAAGCCCTAAAAAAAGCATACAACGAGCTTCTCTGTAGGGTTTCTCAGGACCATTAAGACAAACTCATTAGCTAGTTTTTGCCAAAGTAACATCCCTAATTGGTCCGGCTGCAGGATGTTAAAGAAGGATTTTAGGAAAAAGGTGCACTTAAAGTGAACAAATGGTCAAAAGTCCACAAGGAAAACTACTAGTGAGGATCATATATCTTGATTCATAGAATGCAAAAATTTGACAAGCTCTCTGAGAATTTTAGCACAAGATTTGTTTCTGTCCCATGAGCATTCAAGTACATAGTAAATCCTCACAAAACCTGATGAAAAATACCTAGGTTTCCGGTCTGTGCCAGTGTAGAATCCACTACTCTTCGCTTGTGCATATGGCAGTTTTTTTTTTTTTGGTCCATTTTTATTTCTTTATCTTTTTCTAATTTGTACACATCCACAGGAGAAAAGCAAAAAAAGAAGTCTTCTGAATTATATAACATAGTCATCATTCAAAAAGATCTCTTCCTTAATTTTTTTTTTTCCTTTATAAAAAGTCACAAAGTGTCGCTGCGCAGCAGTTGGTTGGCAGGGAGGGATGTCAAAAAGAGAGATTTGTCCGTCTACGAAGAAGGTGAGAGTGTTTCCTCCACTGCCCCTAGTAAGATTCACATTTGAGCAATGGGCGATTCCACTTGGTCGCCTTTTGCCTTTGAAATCCAGATTTCTCTGGATGGACATTCCACTTTAGATCTTGGCTGTGCATTGGCGGGATCGAAGCAGAAAGATAATCCTTACTCAAAATGAAAAAAAAATAATAAAATAAATCCATCTCTTTGGATTGGCGTCCTATCGCTATGATATTCTCCAAAATTTCTCAAGGAGATGCATTCGGGACACGTCCCACATAGTGCAGTAAATCAAATCATTGTTCAATGGTAGCTTGTCCGTTTGTGACAATCTGCGTAAGATGTACTCTACGTAAAATTGACGAAAGATTTAAATGGACCTTGGAGACACTGGAACACAATAATAGTAGTAACTAAATTGAGTCATTAATGTTTTAAGTATTAGGCAAATACCTACTGAAGCACGTTGTCTTTCAGTGACATAAGATGTCGTACCACCTTCTCAGATCTGTAGACCTCCAAATTTACGTCCTCATGGTCAGACGTGGCCGACCAAACCTCAAGACCTGTTCCCTCACGGGGGGCCTCTCTCTGGTGGGATGAGCGAATGGCCTGAGTGGTATCCGACTCCTTCCCATAATCCCTCTCTTTCTCTCCCTCTACTTTCTCTCTGTCTCTTTCTCCTCCTCGCCATTTTGCCGCCTCTTTCTCCTCCTCTTCCTCCTCAGATGTGCCTCTTCATGTGCAGTGCCAAGTGATCAGATCGAGAGAAACACCTAAAGGGAAAGAAAAAAATAACTGATTAGGAAACCTGTGTGACCTGAAATATGGATCTTTTTGAATCTAAGGAGAACTTATTTTAGTTTTAAAGAATTGATTATAATAGCTTTCAGCTTTTTAAATTATGTCTCTTAAATAACTTTAGTAACACTTTAGATTAGGGAGCACTATTCGCTATTGATTAGTTGTTTATTAATGTGCATATTAGGTGCTAATGCTAAACATTACTACTACAACAACTACCTTACTTATAATCAATAAGAAGCAAATTAGGAGTTTATTGTGGGAAAACTCTTAGTTAATAGTGAATATTCCTTAATCTAAAGTGCTACCATAACTTTTTATAATTTTTCAAAATAAAAGTTTTTAGTGTCGAAATTAAAAATGTGGTCGTCCTAATAATAAATTTTATTAAAATTAACAAAAATATCATCTTTTGTTTTATATTCTTGCTAATAATTTGCTATTTATTTTATAACACTGTATAAAATGTTGTATGAATAACTAATTATATACATAGAAATGATTATTATTATCATTATCATGTAGAACTATAATAATTATAGGCGATAATAATAATTCATCATCATCATCGTCATCATTATTATTATTATTATTATTATTATATTGTTAACATAGACTTAAAGCTAAAAAATAGAGAAAAGGTATAGATAAACCTAGTTGATTATTGGAGCATCTTGACCCATCCCTAAGACATATGCTTTCATGTTAAGTCTCACCTGTCCTGGAACGGCAAGGGGAAGAACACAAATTGGGAAATCAAGGGGTGTGTTTTTGGCAGGGTCGGACAGATGGCAGATCAAGCCACTGCCAGGAGGCACCAAACCAGCTGGTGTACCTCCACCCTCTTCCACACCCCCACCCCGCTGTCCTGACAGGGGGTCCGGACACGGTCGGGCCGGATTAAGAATGGGCCCGAGGGCCAAGGCTACAGGTCTAGCTTCTCGGTCTACTGTATTTACTGTTCAGACGAGACTGGGAGACCCTCCACATGCTGCTCTCCACTGTTCCCGTCAACTCCATCATTGTAATGGTAATCCTGGGCTCCCTTGACAACGACAGAATGGATTCCCCAAGCTGTATGAGCAGCCAGGATGACAAGAGAGGGCGGAGCTGAGCTCAAAGTGAGATGCGCAAGTCTAACAAGCATGAAGGACCTATTTATACATCAAAGCGAAGACAAGTTAAGATTCACTTCAGAGGTGGAAGCTCTTGGTCAATACCAGGAGGCAACAGTCTCGCAGGCACTGCGCCCAAATTGAAAATGTTCTGAAAGAAAGCACCAATCTACGTGCTTAGCTTTGTACCCAAATGGAAATGCATACTTTTTTATATTTTAGTTTAGTTTATAGTTTGTTTTATGAAATAAAAGTCCTTCCATGTAAAGTATGTTGGAACATTTAGAGCGTACCAGCATGCATTTACATTAATTACAGCTTTTGTGTGGAGTATCCCAAATCTTTCAGTTTAGTAATGTCTTAAGCCGCGGTCACACTAGACTTTTCGCTCCATTGACTTCCATTCATACGCATGCGAATGTGTCAGACCGGAATCGCAAGCCCGTGCGAAGATATTTCGCATTTCGCTGTGTAGCAAAGTTCAATTTTGGTGAACTCTGACCAGCGAATTCGCGTCACATGAATGCGTGAGACCAATAGAAGATCAAAACCTCACAAAGTGACCTCTCGGTACAGAAATGGAGGAATCGCTAATTTTAGCAGTGTCGCATCATCTTGCTTTATTCAACACAACTTTAAAAGATTACAAAAATCACATAACAAGAGAAGCGGCTTGGTTTGCGGTGGCAAGGGAAACAGGAGCGGATGGCACGTTTGAAAAGTGAAACGTGTAATTTTATGTGATTTTTTTTATTACATGAGATTTGTATGTGTGCGTGTGTGTAATTGATTAACTATACTTGTGACTGATTGTAATCACTTAAATAGAAAATAATTATGACTAGTGAGGATATTTTGGCGCGTGATGTCATATCCTGCTCCCACTCCTTTTCGCAGCACCATCCGAACGAATTTCGCCTTAGGCCGCATTCACACTGCAGGTCTTGATGCCCAATTCTGATTTGTTGACTGTATCAAATTTTTTTTTTATTACATGAGATTTGTATGTGTGCGTGTGTGTACTTGATTAACTATACTTGTGACTGATTGTAATCACTTAAATAGAAAATAATTATGACTAGTGAGGATATTTTGGCGCGTGATGTCATATCCTGCTCCCGCTCCTTTTCGCAGCACCGTCCGAACGAATTTCGCCTTAGGCCGCATTCACACTGCAGGTCTTGATGCCCAATTCTGATTTGTTGACTGTATCAAATTTTTTTTTGTGTGACCCATGAAGTGACCCATATTCAATATCTGCATTTACACTATACACTTGGCAAAACGACCCAAGTTAGACGTACTGACTTGGAAAACTTTAGGCTGAAAAGGAAGCAAAAATTACGCCATTTGCAATGAATGCAGATGAAATGATAATACAAGCTTTTGCTTGAACAAAGGCTCAAAAGAAATAAAACCTCAGAATATCTCCACTAGGTTGAGACTTCGTCATCCATTGTGCCATTGAAAAGAGTCATGTGATCGCGTGATTGGTGTCCACCTTTATCAACTACTCAATCTGAGAGAAGCGGCAATGTCTGGACCTGTCTGTGACTTAGAGTGAAATGTGTTTTGACTGGAAATTACATGAGCCAATGAAAGAGCACGATACAGAGCAAGGAAAATTTTCGTAGTCTTAAGAGGAGTCGTAGTCTTATGTCTTTTCATGTATTAAAATAGAAATAGACCCATTTTTAATACAAGAACAAAATTAAAGTTTATAAGATTAAAATATGAAGTATAGTACAAACCCAAGTTAGACGTACTGACTTGGAAAACTTTAGGCTGAAAAGGAAGCAAAAATTACGCCATTTGCAATGAATGCAGATGAAATGATAATACAAGCTTTTGCTTGAACAAAGGCTCAAAAGAAATAAAACCTCAGAATATCTCCACTAGGTTGAGACTTCGTCATCCATTGTGCCATTGAAAAGAGTCATGTGATCGCGTGATTGGTGTCCACCTTTATCAACTACTCAATCTGAGAGAAGCGGCAATGTCTGGACCTGTCTGTGACTTAGAGTGAAATGTGTTTTGACTGGAAATTACATGAGCCAATGAAAGAGCACGATACAGAGCAAGGAAAATTTTCGTAGTCTTAAGAGGAGTCGTAGTCTCATATGAAGTATAGTACAAAAAGTTTAAAATGAAGGAAAAACAAAACACAAAATATACAAAGGCTTTATAAGACATTACAGGAAGGCCAGAATAAAAGAAAATATATGTTTTTAATTTAGATTTAAAACTATTAATACATCTTATGTCCTCTGGAAGGTTGTTCCAGAGGTGAGGAGCATAACGGCTAAAAGCAGCATCACCAAATTTTTTAGTTCTACTATGAGGTGCAGTTAGAAGAAAAGAATCTGAATATCTGAGAGTCCTTCTGGGTTCATATACTGTGAGCATTTTTGAAAGATAGTCTGGAGCAAATCCATGCAATGCCTTATAAACTAATAAGAGATTTTTAAAATCAATACAAAAACTAACTGGTAACCAGTGTAATGACATTAATACAGGTGTAATGTGATCTCTCTTTTTGGCTTTTGTCAATATTCAAGCAGCAGTATTTTGGATTAGTTGTAGTTTATTAATTGTATTCTTTGGTAGACCCACAAGGAGGGCATTACAGTAGCCAAGCCTGCTAGTTATAAATGCATGCATTAATTTTTCTGTATTGCTCAGAGAGAGAAATTGTCTTACTTTAGCAATGTTCTTCAGATTAGAAAATGCAATTTTGGTAATATTATGTACATGAGCTAAAATTAAAAGTTAAAATCTGAATAAAAGACAACTCCTAAGTTTTTTGCCACTTGACTTGGGTTTAATCCTAGTATATTTAGCTTAGGGGTCAATTTCTCTCTCTGCGCTTTTGGTCCAATAATCAAACCTTCAGTTTTATCTTGGTTGAGTTGTAAGAAATTTTGTGACATCCAGTCATTTATGTCTTGGATGCAATTTGCAAGTGAATCAAATTGAACAGGATCATCAGGAGACACGGATATAATACAACTTTATATCATCAGCATAACTATGAAAAGTGATACCATGCCTCCTGATGATGTGACCGAGAGGAAACAAATATAGATTAAAAAGCAGTGGTCCTAAAACTGATCCCTGAGGAACCCCATGATACCTTGTATGTTCAGACAAGGTATTATTAATAGATACTACAAATGTTCATCCGCTAAGGTATGATAAAAACCAATTCAAAACCAATCCAAGTTCCAGATAGACCAACATAATCACTTAATCTATTTATGAGAATCTGGTGATCTATTTTATCAAACAAAGCAAGAAGCACTAGTTCAGTAACACTACGTATAAATAATTTTATGCAATAGTTTAGAAACCTACTATGTATAAATAATGATTATATATTAAAAAAATGAGTTTGTCTGCTGGCCCGTTCAGACAAACTTATTCACTAGAATGAATTGGACTTCCCAATACGCAGCATAAAAAAGAAAGAAAATATTTTAGGACATTTTAGCTTCCCCAACACTAATGTGAGTAAATGTAATTGGGGGAAAATGGGGCAGATGACTCTACTTGTCACTCACCATGTTCAGTTTCAAGCTTATTAACAAGATCTGGTGAATACAGAGAAACCATTGTCTGAATAGCAGATGTTTTTAATCATTAAGCTACATCTAGCGGCACAGGTGACAGGTGGACCATCTTAGATGGAGATTTGAAAATGAAAATATTTCAGACTATTCATCACATTTTTAGATTCAGGAAACCGGTGTTAGATTTTGCTATTAAAAATAATGTTTAAGATATAAATCAGTTTACAAAAATTGCTTACCAAGAATTCCCAAAATCCCCACAAGGTGCTAGAACTAAATTTATTATTAAAAATCCAAAATAGTATTACAATATACACTACTGTGCAAAAGTATTTGGCCATTATTTGTATTTTCACCAACAAAAATGGTTTTAAGTCAGTTATTTCTGTCTTTTGCTGTAGTGAATAGTAGAAAATATGTTTATATATATGTTAAATATTTACATTTCTAAACATTTCTTTTGCCATTAATTGGAATAATGCAGTGAGATTTTTGTATGAACAAGGAGTCTGACAACAGCCAGTACTCCGCACAGAGATCTGATCTCACCATCATCCAGTCCGTCTGGGATTACATGAAGAAACAGAAAAATGGAGACAGACTAAATCCAGAAGAACTGTGTCAATGACTCCAAGATGCTTCAAGAACCCTACCTGCAAAGCTACCTGAAAAACTATGCGCAAGTGGACCTAGGACAAAAGCTGTTTTAAACGCAAAGGTTGGTCACACCAAATGTTGATTTGACTTAGTTAATAGAAGTTAATTTATGAATAAAATCTATTTATGACATTATTTTTGAAAGCATCCTCACTTTACAGCATTTTTACACGAGTGCCTAAAACTTTTCACAGTATTGTAGCTTTGCAGGAAGGTTTCTTGGAGAAGACGTTGCCACAGTTCTTCTGGATTTAGTCTGTCTCAGTTTTTTTTCTGTTTCTTCATATAATTTCAGACGGACTGGATGATGGTGGGATCAGATCTCTGTGTGGAGCACACTGACTGTTGTCAGACTCCTTGTGCAAAGAAAAATCTATCTAAATGGATAACTACAATTAATGGCAAAATGTTTGGAAATGTAAACTGATATTTCCTACTGACACACTACAGCAAAATATAGAAATAACTGACTTAAAATCATTTTTTTTGTTGTTGGTGAAAATACTAATGGCCTAAGACTTTTGCACAGTTCTGTATGTGTGTGTGTATATATATATATATATATATGATAGTAGAAGTGCAACTAAATAGAATTCTCTTTGTGTAAACATTTGTTTAATGTTTACATTTTTATTTTTAACATTACAAACTAGTATTACAAAATAGTATTTTTTATTATATTTATTAATTTCAATATAGTATTTTTGCATTAATATGTACAGGGAAACTGTCTAGTTGCTGGTCACCATTAAATTGTCTTGCATTTTAGAAATTAATATTACATGTATTCTCATTCATATTGCATGTACAACAATTATACAAGAATGAAAAAGGTTAAAAAATGAAATAAATTCACTTCATTTTATTTGTTATAATGTGATGTATAATATGAAGTTATAACATGAAGTGTAACAATGTGACATGTCAGCTAGCATTTGTAGGCGTCACATAGGTGATTCTCTGGAGTTTTGAGTCTCACCTGTCGCAGTGATTGCACTTGAAAGGCTTAGCGCCGGTATGTTTGCGGTAGTGCCTTGTCAACTCGTCGCTTCTCGCGAACCGCCATTCACAGCCTTCCCATGAGCACTTGTACGGCTTCTCCCCTGGTACGGACACACAAACAAACATGCACACACCTGATTAAAAACGCCTCCTCATGGGGCCTTGAAATCAACGACTCGGTCCAGCCAGCCGTCTAATTCATTTGTTTTAAGTTGATTAGCCTATCAGAAGAGTGTTGACACAATTGGAGTTCATGAAATACATGATCGTCATTAGGGCTCACAGCTGTCGGACCAAATGAACTCGCACTCGATGAGCTTCCAATAAGATCTTCAGTGTGTTTAACAGATGTGAGAGGCTGCATTCACATTTTTGATGTTCTGTGTTTTTGTTGTGGATTGGAGCTGCCTTGCAGGAGAGCTGTGGTTCGTATGGGGTCTCATCACTTGTTCATTAGCGCTGCTGAACGTAACATATGAAATGGGGGGCAGGCAGAGTTTATTTGGATCTCTGGGAGAGGTGATAATTGGAGTAGTAATGATGGGTAATGGGGAGGAACCTCATATTTACTGTCAACCAGCTGGCCCTGTCTCCACTGTTTGCCACATCTACAAATCTTCTGAAACAAGACTGTGGCTTCATATAAATAGCTTGACAATAAAAAAAGTCAGATTTTCATGCAAAAACGGCTCCTAAATTTAACTAGTAGTCATTAAATCAACATTAACTGAAATATTAAATCAAAATTGATCCTATTTACAAGGCAGTCTATGGCAAAAATGTTTATTTTTTAATAAATAAAAAACAACATCCAGAAAACAAACAAAACAATGCAAACAACTTTCGTTTTTACTTTTATTTATTTATTTATTAAAAGTAATTTTTTAAAATGTATTTGGTTATTTTTTAAATCTTATTTTTTGTTTATTTATAAAATAAATGTATTTATTTTTAAAACATCAATTTAACATCCTGTTTTACTCAGATCCCACTATGCAAGTAAAATGGACTGTGAATTAATTTCATGTTGTCTTCTTGTCTAGCATCGAAAAACTTCCATGACGGCCACAATTTCATTCTGAGCTGTAAAAACAACAAGTTATATTTAGGTCAGAATTTAAGTGCTAAATTGCATTCCCTTTCACACACATTCACAAGCTAGCCACATTAAGCAGGACAGGTTTAGACCTGTGCTCGCTACGACCACAGCACCAGCCAATTATAAGTCAGGGAGGCATGGATGCTCGAGTTTGTCGCCTAGCAACCGGGCAGGAGCGTAACGTAGGAGGCAGCAGTGGAGCCGGCTCGATCTGGCATCGTCTGTCCCTCTGTGCCACCAGCCAATTACGGCTCATACTGGCAGGGGAGGATGCAGTTGCCTGGCAACCAGGATGTTACATGATACATATATGTACAAGTGGATATAGGTGCGTATGTGCGAGCGCATGCATACATGCTCGTGGGAATAAAAGTGCACAGACAAGGCTAGCAGTGTAAACTGATACCAGCGCCGAGACCTGAGAATCGTTCCCAATTATAGAGTCCCATTCGGAGACACACCAGTTGCCTGGCAACTCCCCACCCCCATCACACAACCTTTCCTCTCTCACACACACTTTTTCTCTCTCTGAGCACCCTTACAGGTGCCAGAGTCTCGCTTAATTACATTTTCTCAGTTAAACTGGAGACAGAATGACTCATTATGATCTGTGGAGCTCACGGCGGCACCAAGCAGAAAGCCTATTTCTGCCCTTCACCGCTCTTCCAAGTTTTTTACGAATCAGACTTTGTTATTATGGAACGCTGAGCGAGAGACAAAGTGGAAACGAGTGCCGCCACGTTCCTCTCTTCACCCCTCTATGTCTCCCTGAAAACGCTTATCTCGTTCCCAAACGCCATTCATAAAACGCTCCAGAGGGCAATGTCATTTCCATTCACGCCGCCTTCGATTCTGTACAAATCTCAATCACAGAATTTGTCGAAGTAATAATGCCTCCGAAATCGGATTTTGCCAATTGCAAACAAGTTGACAAATCGTTTTGGCATCAGTTTTTAACGTAGCTCACTGCATCTTTGTTTTTTTGGACAAATGCAATACCGAAATTGCTCAAAGACTATGGCTAATGAATAATGTAGCTTTACTTTACAAAATGGAATTATGATTTGCATTATTGTGGCAAGTAAGCAACAGGACAGTTTAAATATGGATTTTTTCTGCATTTAATATAATATAATATTGTTGTATGCACAAAGAGTTCATACAAAGGAGTAATATAATATAATATTTTTGAGTAAAAACATCTAAACATTCTTTAATATTGTTTGGCATCAGATTTTAACGCAGTTTATTGCTTTGTTTTTTTTGTGTGGAAAAAATCAATACAGAAATTGCTCAGAAATACTATGGCTAATGAATAATGCAGTTTTAGTTAGCAAAGAGGAAATCAAATTTGATTGATGCAGCAAGCAATCAAACAGGACAGTTTAAACACTGATTTTATATATTAATATATTATTATTATTTTATTTCTATTTAGTTTTTTTCTCTTTCCATTGGTACATTATTTAAAATGTCCCCCTCCAATGTAGCTGTCAAATATTATTTGAGTTCCAGCATATTTACCGTATAATACTTTTGGCTTTTGTGTGTCTCATTCACATCAAACCTGGTGTGACATGTCAAGCTTGACTATGCACAAATTAGATTTAGGAGCTGTGGTGGAGGGCAAGATTTTCAGAGAATTGTTACTTAAAGCTATTGTGTGACTTCAGAAAGCTTGGAAAGCACACAAATCATATCAAATAATATTATGGTGCTTTTTTTTGTCCATTTTGGACCTTGACAAGGCATCCTGTTATTCTTGTGCATTCTGGAGCATCAGTCCTTGCATCACAATATGTATGCCTAAAATACTTCTAATACATCAGAAGGGAGCCATTAACATGTGGCATGTTCTGGTTTCAAGACTTGAGGATCTGCCCTGGTGTGTTAACAGGCACGCAGCAGACGTAGGGAAATATACAGGCGAGTATGTCTCATTCCAGCCGGTCCATCCATCATGAGGCAGTTATTCACTCCGTGGACAGCTTTGGGACAGCCGTCTGAGTGCTTTTGGATTGAGATCGAAGAGACAGAGAATTATGGCCGTTTTCTGCACCATTCGAATCTGCTGAGGAAGTACTGTCGCAACCTTGAAAAAATGTTTGTCGCAGAGGGTGCTGGACAGGCATGCTGCCATGGCGACGACGAAGTACCATTAATTACATCAGTTTGTCGCTTATTGTGGAAAATAAGATTGATTGCGCAAAATAAGAATATTGATGATAAATGTGGTGGAAATGACTGAATATTTCTCATGTTATCATGTTATTAATGTAAGAGCAGGTAAAGTGTTTGTTTAAAACTGCAAATAAACTAAACATTTAATTAACAACTACATCAAACAGATGATGCCATGTTGTTGCTAGATATGTTTCGGCTCCCTCCCTTAATAAGTCTATGGTCTATGGTATTTTCGGTCTACCTTCAGTAGAGTGAATCATTGTGTAACACAGTTCGTAGATCTGGAAGAAGGGGGCGGGAACCAGCAAACATTTAAACATAATTGAATAATAAAATAAACAAACACAACATGAAAATAGCGCGACGACTCACAGAAGGGGGTAAGGACAGACAGACGAGGCAAGAGAAAAGGAGACGGAAGGATGAGGAGAGACGAGACGAGACGAGAGAGGGGAGAAAGGGAAAAAAAATTCTTGTTCCGGTTCCCAGACACACAAGCGCTCGGCCCTCCACCAGCTGGGTAAACTCTTCCGCGATGCCTGGCGGCGGCACT